TGGCCAAAGAAGCTGTTGAGTATCACCTTGAAAACTCTTGCAACATACATAAGTGACAGGCAGTAAGAGTGGGAGGGATTTCTAATCATAGTGGTAATGAGTAGAAATTAGATATTCTATCAATATTATACACAGATCTAGGCTACAAAGTGCAAGCTGTCACAGCTGCATTAACACCTTGGGGAATCAGGTAGCGCACTTGGCTGGATGGCCAATGTGGATCAGCCACTAGCAAAGGTTTGATTCCTGTATCAGGTGAGTGATTTCAGGACTTGCCTCCTTATTCTTTCATTGTTGGAAATTATTGCATCTGGATTTAGCATAAAGGCACTTTACCTGAATGCTCGTAGCATTCGTAACAAGGTTGATGAGTTAACGGCACAAATCATCGCGAATGAATATGATTTGGTAGCCATTACGGAGACATGGTTACAGGATGGTCACGACTGGGGGTTAAATATCCAAGGGTACCAGACTATTCGGAAGGACAGACAGGAAGGTAAGGGAGGTGGTGTAGCTCTGATATTCAAGGACGCCATCAGGGCGGTGCTGAGAGATGATATAGGTTCTATGGAGAATGAGGTTGAATCCATTTGGGTGGGAAATTAGAAATTCTAAGAGGAAAAAGTCACTGATAGGCGTAGTCTATAGGCCACCAAATAATAACATCACATTGGGGCGGGCAATAAACAAAGAAATAACTAATGCCTGTAAAAATGGTACGGCAATTATCATGGGGGATTTTAACCTACATGTCGATTGGTCGAACCAGCTCGGTCAGGGTAGCCTTGAGGAGGAGTTCGTTGAGTGTATCCGTGATAGTTTTCTTGAACAGTATGTAATGGAACCAACGCGGGAGCAAGCTATCCTAGATCTGGTCCTGTGTAATGAGACAGGAATAATTAATGACCTCATAGTTAGGGATCCTCTTGGAAGGAGTGATCACAGTATGGTTGAATTTAGAATACAGATGGAGAGTGTGAAGATAAAATCCAATACCAGGGTCCTGTGCTTGAACAAGGGGAACTACAATAGAATGAGGGAGGACTTGGCTAAAGTAAACTGGAAACAAAGATTTTATGGTGGGACAGTTGACAAGCAGTGGAGGACTTTCAAAGCAATCTTTCAAAGTGCTCAGCAAAAGTATATTCCAATGAAAAGGAAGGACTGTAAGAAAAGGGGTAATCTGCCATGGGTGTCTAAAGAAATAAGGGAGGCTATTAGATTGAAAGAGAAGGCATACAAAGTGGCCAAAAACAGCATGAAACTAGAAGATTGGGAAAACTTTAAAGGTCAACAGAAAGCCACAAAAAGAGCTATAAGGAAAAGTAAGATAGAACATGAGAAAAAACTAGCACAGAATATAAAGACAGATAGCAAAAGTTTCTATAAATATATAAAACGAAAAAAAGAGTGGCTAAAGTAAACATTGGCCCTTTAGAGCATGAGAAGGGGAATTTAGTTATGGGATATGATGAAATAGCCGAGGCATTGAACAGGTATTTTGTATCGGTCTTCACAGTGGAGGACCTCAGCACCGATCCCTCAGGCAGACTACAACTTACAGGTTACCATCCAAAAAAAATGCCTACCTTTATCCTAACTCTCTGACTTCTATTTGTTAGCAAATCCTCTATCCATGGTACTATAATACCCCCAATACCTTGCAATCTTAGCTTATTAAATAGCCTAAGTATGATGCCTTATCAAGTGCCTTCTGAAAGTCCAAATGTATCATACCAACTACTTTCACTTTATCTATCCTGCTTGTTACTTTCTTAAGGAATTCTAGTAAATCTGTCAGGCATGATTTCTCCTTTGTGAAGCCATTCTGCCTCTGACTAAACACATTATATATTCCTAAATGTTCTGCTAATACATTCTTTATAACAGACTCCGGCATTTTCCCAATGACAGGTGTTAAGCTAACTGGCCTATAGTTACCTGTTCTTTTTGTCTCCTTCCCTTTATAAATAAAGGCATTATACTGGCAGTTATTCAATCATCTAGAACTTTTCCAGAATCCAAAGATTTCTGGATGAGTACAACCGGTGCATCCACAATGTCTGCAGAAACTTCTTTTAATATTCCAGAATGCAACCCATCAGGTCCAGAAGACTTATTAGTCTTTATGTTGACATCTAATCAATTTGGAAAATTAACCAGGTATGTCCTATGAACAAAAAGCAGGACAAATCAAACCAAACCAATTGCCACCCCATCAGTCTACTCTCAATCATCAGTAAAAAGTGATGGAGGGTATCATCAATAGTGCTATAAGCAGCTTTTGCTTAGCAAAGACCTGCTCATTAACATTCAGTTCACATTTTCCAGGGCCAATCAGCTCCTGATGTCAATGTTCAAATATGGACTGTACACCTGAATTTCAGAGATGAGGCAAGAGTAACTGCTCTTGACTTCAAGGCCACATTTAACCAAATATGGCATCAAGAAGCCATCAGAAGGCTTAATTAAATGGGAATCAGGGAAAACTCTTTGTTGGTTAGAGTCATACCTGGCACAAAGGTTATATTGTTGGTCAGTCATCTCTAAACACGAGGTTCTCTGGAGTATCCTTGGCCCATCTTCAGCTGTTCCATCAATCATCTTCTCTCCATCATAAGGTCAGAAGTGGAAAATGTAACCCAGTATTAATGAGCAGGTTAGAAGTGGGAATGTTTGCTGATGATTTCACAAAGTTCAGCACCATTCACGACTCCTTAGATACTGAATCAGTCCATGCCCAAATGCAACATTACCTGGACAACATTCAGTTTTGTGATGAGAGGTGGCAAGTGATAATCATGCCAAACAAATGCCAAGCAATGACTATCTCCAACAAGGGAGACTCTAACCATCACTCCTGGACATTCAATGGTGTTACCATCACTAAATCACTCACTATAAAACACCCTGGGGTTTCCTTTGACGAGAAACTGAACTAGATTAGCCATATTAGTACCGTTGCAACAGCAGGACCAAGGCTAAGAATCCTGCAATGTGTAACTCACCGTCAAGTTCCCTGTCCATTATCTACAAGTCACATGTCAGAAATATGATGGAAAGGTTTGCATCTGCCCCAGATGAACGCAGCTCCTTCAACACTTGAGAAACATGGCACCATCCAAGACCAAACAGCCAGGTTCAGTGGCACCACATCCACAAATATTCACATGCACCACCACCAATGTTCAGCAACAGCAACGCCCACTGCAATAACTCACTAAGCCTCCTTAGACAGCAACTTCCAAACCTACAATCACTACCACAGGAAAAATAAGGGCAATAAATACATAGGAACATCTCAATCTGAAAATTCCCCTCTGAGTCACTTGTCATCCTGACTTGGAAATCATTACTGTTCCTACATCGTTGCTGGTCAAAATCCTGGAACTCTTTCCTTAACAACAGTGTTTCTACAGCTACACCAAATGCGTTATAGCGATTCAAGAAGGCAGATCATCACCACCTCCTCAACGGCTAGAGATGGGCCATAAATGCCAGTCTAGACAGTGATGCCTACATCCTATGAGTGGAAGGTAATTTATGGAGGGTATGTGGCAAACAAAGAGGAAATATGATGGACATAAAGAGGAAAAAGAACAGTGGGATTCCTAAGTACTCAAAGTTTAGGAGTGTTGTTACTTTGAATCACTCAAAAGTGAAAGACAATGATCAGAAGTGACCTTACTGTGGACCTAAACGCAATTCTGGTAGATCCATGCTATCATGATCAATGGGAGTTGAAGAGTGTTCCAAAAAGAATGCATGGGCTGCCTGAAGAAAACTGGCTATGTCCTTGAAGGGAAGGAAATGATATTCTGCCTGGAAGAATGAACGACCTAAAATATCAGCAAGTCATTGTTGTATCTACTATTGCATGTGCAATCTGTAGTTCCTACTAATCACAATCTCCTGTTACGTTATATCAATTCAGATTACAGTAAAAGTTACAAGAAGTGTCATATCCAACAATTTCTTAATTTGAGGCTTGTTCATTGATTTGGTTATTTTGATTGACAGATCACAATTGGGATTGTAACAGTAGTAAGAGGTAGCGAGGACTCGATTACAGACAAAGCGGTAAGATACATTTAAAAGCACAGGCAAGGCTAAAATATTCCACAAATACTTTATAAAAGCAAAACTCTATGGATGCTGGAAATCTGAAATAATAAAACAGAAGATGCTGGATAAATTCAGCACATCCGAAACCATAGGGAGAAACAGAAACAGAGTTAACGTTCGAGTATGATATGAATCTTTCAGAACTGATAATGATAGTTTTAACGCTGTTGACAAGAGAGAGAGGAAGACCAAGGGGAACAGGTGGTGAGGACACTCTGAGCAAAAGACAAACGGACTGCTAATCTGGATAGCATATTAAAAAGAAAGATTTAGAGGGATATGGGCCAAATGCTGGCAAATGAGACCAGGTCAGATTGGGATGTCTGGTTGACACAGATGAGTTGGACCAAAAGGACTGTTTCCATTCTCTATGACTCTAATGGTGGCAAAGGACAAATTGAGATGTAAAATAGGTGTAAAATGATTGTGCAAAAAGGAAAAATGGATCCACTCCGCTGAGAAAAAGCCAACAAGGCATAAACCAGACATCGGAAATGGGACTGTAATCAAAATGGGGGCAAAGATCATGCCCTGAAGTTGCTGAACTCAATGTTGGGTCCTAATAAGGACCTATGTGGAGGGTATTGTTCCTTCAGTTTGTGTTGAGTTTCATTGGAACAGTGCAGCAGGCCCAGAAGAGAAGTGTTAGCATTTAAGCAAGATGGCTTTTTGAAATGGCAAGCAACAAAAAAATAGTCAGGACCATTCTTATGGACACAGTGGAGGTGATTGCCCAGTCCGCATTTGTAATGTAAAAACTGCCAAATGCCACTGTCTCTTGTTTATGTCTTGGTGGTTTTGCTCTTAGTTAAATGAACCGATTTTTTCCTTTTCATTTTTATCATTTATATTTATTTTAATCACAACCCCACCTTTACCACTTTCAGCACCCCTTCGTCTTTTGCTCTGGGCACCAGGACCACCTGTTGCACTCGCTTCTCCTTCCAGTTCTGATGACAGCATAAAAACCACCATTTTCCAGTTCCTTTCAATTCTAAAGAGAAATCATATTAGGCTAAAATTATGAACTCTGTTTCTTTTGCTATAGATGCAGCCAGATTTGCTGAGTTGCTCCCGCATTTTGTATTTTTATTAACAAATACTTTGCTTCAGTTACTGTGGAAGAGAATGCTCACAAAATATCTGCATTGCACAGATGGAACAGGAAATAGACGAGGTGTAAATTGATAAGCAAGACGTATTGGGAAAGCTGACAATGTTTAGAATGAATAAATCATTTGGTCTAGATGGCTTTCAACCAAGATTGCTAAGGGAATGGGCTGGCAATAGCAGAAAGTTTTGAGATAATGCTTCAATCTTCTCTAGATACAGGGAAGAAGCAGCAGATTAGAGTTTGGAAAATGTGACAGTCTTATGTAAGGAATTCTGGAAGGAAATTTCTTCTAACTAGAGCTCAGGCAGTTTAACTTTGGAGGTGGGTAAAGTTTTAGAATTAATAATATTGGGGAAATAATCACCACAGACTTGAAAAGGGGTCGTTAAATTAAGGAGTGGCAGCACAGATATGCAAAAGGCAGACTGATCATTAATGATTAATCTCACTAATTTTTTAACGAACTAACAGTGGAGGTTGAACAGAATGCAATGGATGCTGTTTATATGGATTTTAAGGAAGCATTTGACAAAGTAACACAAAGGTTGGTTAACAAAATTGACGCCCACGAACCAGAAGAATGCGTCAGCTTGGATTTTCGAAAAACTTAGTCACTGGACAGAAACAGTGGCTTGTGACATATGGCTGTTTTTTTGTGACTGCAGCAAGGCAGACAGTAGTGCTCCCCGATGCTAGGACCACTGTTTGTTTGATACAAATGAAAAATTTAGAATACAGAACAAAATTTAAAAATTTGCTGATGATTCCAAAACGCCAAGCAAGGATGATACCAATCGGCTGCCAAAGGATTCAGGTAAATTGTTAGAATGGGCATACGTGTTGCATATGGAATTGTATGCAGTGAATTGTGAAGTGATGTGTTTTGGCCAAAGGGATAGAGACAGGCAATTTAAAGTAAATTTCACAGCTATAGATGGTATACAGGGAGAGAGGGACTTGAAGTTTTTTTCAAAAGCTTTTTTACCCAGAGAGTAGTAAATATGGAACTCTCTAGCAAAAGTGAGTTGCTGAGGTGAATAGCACTGAAGTGGAACCTGGGTAAACACAAGAGAAAAGGGATATATGAATAGGGCAGAATCAATAGAGGTGCGAGGAAGATCGTTCGAGCATAAACACTGACATAATTGGGCTCAATGGCTTGTAACTTTGGTTGTGCATTCTAAGTAATTTGGTGTTAATTACATGCCACATGGTAGAAATGTAGAACATGGAAATCAGGTGCAAGGTGAGTCACTGGGCCCTTCAAGCCTGCTCCAGCATGCAATATGATCATGGCTGATCGTCTCTCAATACCATATTCCCACTTACTCCTCTTAATGCCTTTAAAATCTAAAAATGCATCTATCTTTCTCAAACATATCCAGTAACCTAGCCTCCACGGCCTTCTGCAGTAGTGAATTCCATGGTTCACTACCCTTTTAAGCGAAGAAGCTGTTTCTCATCTCAGCCCTAAATGGTCTATCCTGAAACAGCATCCCCTGGTTCTAGACTCCCCAAACAAGGGAAACATCCCCCCTGCATCTAGTTTGGCCAGCCTTGTTAAAATTGTATACGTTTCAACTGGATACCCTCTGATTCTTTTAAACTGTAACAAATACAGGTCCAGTTGAATTAATCTCTTAATTAATCTCTCCTCACCTCCACCCCCCAACCTTCTCCCCAACCCCTGGTATAGGCTTCATAAATCTCCACTGCACACCCACTATGGCAAGTACATCCTTTCTTAAGTAGGGAGACAAGACTTGCATGCAATACTCAGGTATGGTGTCACTAAGGCCCTGGATAACTAAGACCATTTTATGATAGAGACTGGTATAACAAGGAGACTGAAATGGATCAGCCATTTTGCACTTGCAGTGCCTCCAGCCATTTCTTGATATCACGTGAAGTGAATCAAACTGGCTGAACTACTTGGCACTTCTGGCTGAAGATTGCTGTGAATGATGCATTGGATTCTTCCGCCATTGAGGAATGGGATATTTGTGGAGCCTCCTCCTCCAGTGAGTTGTTTTATTGTCCAGCACCATTCACGACTGGATGTGACAGGACTGCAGAGCTCTGATCTGATGTGTTGGTTGTGGGATTGCTTAACTCTGTCTTTCATTTGCTGCTTATGCTGTTTGGCACAGAAGTGATCCTCTTTGGTGGCTTCACCAGACTGATACATCATCTTTAGGTATTCATGGTGCTGCTCCCAGCATGCCCTCCTGCACCCTTCACTGAACAAGGGTTGATCCTGTGGCTTGATGGTGATGGTTGAGTAGGGATATGCCAGACCATGAGGTTGAAGATTATGTTGGAATACAATTGCTGCTGCTGTTGATGGTTCACAGTGCCTCATGGACACCTAGTCTTGAGTTGTTGGATCCTTTCCAAGTCTGTCCCACTTAGCACAGTGATAGTGTCATATGATGCCAAGGAGGGTATTCTCAATGTGAAGGCAGGACTTTGTCTCCACAAGAACCATGTGGTGGTGACTCTTATCAATGCTGTCACAGACAGATGCATCTGCAGCTGGTAGACCGTTAAGGATGAGGGCAATTATATTCTTCCTTCTTGTTGGCTCTCTCACGACCTGCTGCAGATCCACTCTCGCAGCTATGTCCTTTAGGGCCCGACCAGTTCTATCAATAATGCTGCTGCTGAGCTACTCTTTGTGGTGAACTTTGAAATCCTCCACCCAGAGTACGGTGGCTCAGTGGTTAGCACAGCTGCCTCACAGCGCCAGGGACCTGGGTTCGATTCCAGCCTTGGGTGACTGCGCAAACTCTGCACATTCTCCCAGAGTCTGTGTGGGTTTCCTCCAGGTGTTCCGGTTTCCTGCCACAGTCCAAAGATATGCAGGTTAGGTGGATTGGCTATGCTAAATTGCCCATAGTGTCTAGGGTGAGAAATGTGGGGATAGGGCAGGGTAAGGATCTGGAAGGGATGCTCTACAGAGGGTCGGTGTGGACTCGATGGGCCAAATGGCTTGCTTCCACACTGTAAGGATTCTATGATTCTACGAGTACACTTTAAGCCCTTGAATACTTCCTCCAAGTGTTGTTTAATACTGAAGAGTACTGATTCCTCAGCTGAGGGAGGGCGGTATATGGTAATGTTTCCTTGCCCATGTTTAACCTAAAGCCATAAGAGATCATGGGATCAAGAGTCAATGTTGAGGCCATTTTAGAGGGTGTTTCAAACACATTACTGTGGGTCTGCAGTCACATGTAAGCCAGGCCAGGTGAGGATGGCAGATTTCCTTACCCGAAAGACATTAGTGAACCAGATGGATTTTTCCAACAATTGACAATGGTTTCAAGATCATCAGCAGATTCTCGATTCCAGCTATTTCTTACTGAATTCAAACTCCATCATTTGCCGTAGCAGGATTAAAACATGCGTCCCCAGAACATTAGCCGAGTTTCTGGATTAATAGTCCAGTAATGCTACCACTAAGCCCCGTAAATCAATAAGCAGAATGGGGACAGAAGCAAGTGAGAACTGGGTATATTCGCTGATGATTTCACAATGTTTAGTCATTTGTAACTCAAACAAAGAAGCAATTTGTATCTATATGCAGCAAGACTGGGGTAACGTCCATGCTTGATTTGATAAGTTGTGAGTTACATTCAAGCCACACAAGTACCAGACAACAGCCATGTCTGCAAAGAATCCAAGACACTCTCCCTGATATTCCATGGCATTACCATGCACCCCCCCACTAACAACATCATAAGCATTACCATTGACCAGAAAGTATACTGGCCGAATTACTAACGGTACAAGAGCAGATACAGGCTATAATTTCTATGGGAAGTAACTCATCCCCTGACTGCCCACTGCCTGTCCACCACCTTCAAAACAGAAGTCATGTGTGTAGTGCAATACTCTCCATTTGCCTGGATGAACAAAGCAACAATCAACAGACTCAACACTGACCTGGACAAAACAGCCCACTTGATTGGCACGCTATTGACCACTTTAAACATTTACTCCATCCACTGCCAAGGTCCAGTGGCAGCAGTGTACACCATCTGCAAAATGCACTGCAGTAACATACCAAAGTTCACTGCAGTAATTCACCAAAGTTCTTTGACAGTATCTTCCAGACCGACAACCTCTACTACCTAGAAGGACAAAGAGACCACTTCAAGACACACATCTTCTGACTTGGAACTATATTGCCATTGCTGTTCAATTAGAGAGCTAACTGAAGACTTTTCCTAAAGCACTTAGCAATGAATGAATTACTTTCAAAGTACAATAATATTGTTTCAAACACAGTGGCCAAATTCATTACTAGCAAGTTCCAACAAACACTAAATACTGTCATCTAAGTCAGCAGTCGTTTTGAAACAACACATTTACTTCAAGCAGTACCACAGGAAAAAATGGCAAATCAATCTCTTTTTAAAGACTAACAGTATAAAAATCTAACAGTATAATGGAAGTCCTCTTGACAGCACACCAAAATCAGTCACTAAACACCAAGGCTGAGTTCTGATTTTATGCCTTCTGTTAATGGAGAAACACTGGTCCAGAATTCTGAAAGCTCCCCTGCTTATCTTGATATATTGCCATCTAAAGACCATAAGGTTTCTAGCAGCAGCAGGCCATTCAGACCACCTTGTCAGCCCATCACTCTCCTACTTTTTCTCCATAACCCTCGATTCCCTTACTAATTGAAAATCTATCTCAGCCTCAACACACCTCTGCACAAAAATTCTACAGTTGAACTACCATCAAGAAGAAATTCCTCCTTAGCTGTGTTTTAAATGAACAACATCTTGTTCTGAGATTATGCCCTCTGGTCCTGGACTCTTCCATAAGGGAAACAACCTCTCCATATCTACCCTGTCAAGCCCCTAAGAATCTAGTGTGTTTTAATAAAGTTCTCTCTCATTCCTCCAAAAATCCAATAAGTACAGGCTCATCCTACTCAACCTCTCCCATTTGGCAGCCCTTCCATACCCAATAATTTACTTAAGGAGGGCTTAACATACTATCTAATGGAATGAATCTGATCATTAATATTTTGCCACTTGTGGAACCTTACAATGTGCAAATTGGCTGCCATCACCTACAGAAGAGTAAGAATCCAGAAACTACATTATTGGCTGTGAAGTATTTTGCAGTATGCTGGTACTGTGAAAGTCCTTATATCTTTCCTCTAAATACAGGTCAGCACCTTTTTTAAAGTGCAAATCTAGATGACACAAATCATCAAAGTGGGGGCTGAGCTCACAACATCATTCAGCATTTTCTATGCCAAAACTTAAATCAATATATGTTTAAAACATTGAATTCACTAGATATTTTCCAGCATTTTCCATTAGTTTCTCCTGGCCCCAGTCAGTAACGTACAAAGCCTCAACTATGATCTTCAAAGTGCCCTCAGAATTTCCAACTTGTACTTTGAGAAGGGCAATTCACTTTATACATAGCTCCACTGTTGCAGCACAATAATCAATCACTGGTGGTCTTCTAAGTCAGCAATCGTTTTGAAACAGCACATTATCCAATTTACTTCAAGCAGTACCACAGGAAAACGTGGCAAATCAATCTCTTTTTAAAGACTAACAATATAAAAATCTAACAGCATTTAATGGCAGTCATCTTGACAGCACAACATCAGCCACCAGTCAACGTATACAATAAGCAGCACAGCATCTTAATTTAAAAGCAAACATCAGTTAAAATCCAAAAAGGTGGTTACCACAGTATAGACATCCATCACACAACAGCTCATGCTACTTGTTTTATTCATTCACTGCAACAGGTCCACTGACAGGTTAGCATTATCAACAAGGTCTGTTAAGAGTGATGCTTGTACCCCTCAAATATTTCACTGTCTAGATGCAATCCACCACTTGAGAACTGGTTTTAAAAATGCCATCCACCCAGATGAATCTCACTCTTTAAGAAAAATCAAAACACCACATGATTTGAAGAGTTTGGTATGAGTTTGATGAGTTTTGCGATCATAAAGTTTCGTCTCATCACAGTCCTTTGACACCTCTGTACTCCAGTCTCAACCTTTTCATCTCTTCTGCCCCAACTCTGAGCTGTTCTAGCAGTTATCTCAGCCACGCTCAACAGTACAATCATGGATCACCTACCATGTCTGTATTCTCTGAAAGCAGTTCAACTACTACTGGAGGCCAAGTGACATTCATCATGAACTCTCAGACCACAATCCCAAACCAATCACTATCTGACCAACAGCAGGTTATGAATGTCCCAAAACTCTCTTCAGCTCAACAGAGGGCATAGTTTAAAAATAAGAGGTTGTCACTTAGGTCCAAGATGAGGAGTTGTTTTTTTTTAAAAATGCAGAGCATCATAAACCTTTGAAATTCACTAGCACAGAGGGCTGTGGAAGCTCAGTCATTGAAAATGCTTAAGATAGAGATTGATAGATTTCTAATTCCCAATAGTGTTATGGGGATGGAGTGGTTAAAAGGCATTTTAAAGTTTGATCAAACATAATCGTATAGAATGGCATGCCAGATTCAATGGGCTGGCCATTCAGTTCAGTGTCTATTAAGATGTTCCACCTCAAATTAGGGGCAACATGGTGACTCGGTGGTTAGCACTGCTGCCTCACAGCACCAGGGACCCGGGTTCAATCCCACTCTCAGGCGCCTGTTTGTGTGGAGTTTGCACATTCTCCCTGTGTCTGTGTGGGTTTCCTCCGGGTGCTCCAGTTTCCTCCCACAGTCCAAAGATGTACAAGCTAGATGGACTGACCATGCTATATTGTCCATAGCATCTAGGGATGTGTAGATTAGGTGAGTTACAGGGGAATGGGTCTGGGTGGAATGCTCTGAGGTTCGGTGTGCACTTGTCGGGCCAAAGGGCCTGTTTCCACACTGTAGGGATTCTATGACCAATGATCTATGATTTTCTATGATCTAACACGGTGGCTCAGTGGTTAGCACTGCTGCCTCACAGTACAAGAGACCCGGATTCGATTCCAGCCTTTAACCACTCTCTGGGTAAAGTACGTACAGTCTCCCTGTGTTTGCATGGCCCCCCTCCAGGTGTTCCAGTTTCCTCCCACAGTCCAATGATGTGCGAGTTAGGTGGTATTGGCCATGCTAAATTGCCCATAGTGTCCAGAGATGTGCAGAATAGTTGGATTATCCATGGGAAATGTGGAGTTACAGGGACAGGGTGGGGGGTGGGTCTGGGTGAGATGGTCTTCAGAGGGTTGGTGTGGACACGAGGTGCCAAATGGCCTGCTCCCACACTGTAGGGATTCTGTTAAAAGAAACTGCCAATCTCCTTTCCCATCTGTCATTCAGAATGAATCAGAGGGGGCCAGGAAAATTGTGTACCCCTGGGGTCCTCTGACCTCCCATTAAGATAAGGTTCAAACCTGATCAATCAGTACAATTGCTTCTTTCCATCTCTACAACTTCTTTGCCAAAAATTGCATCTGATTTCCAAAGCAACAAAATTCCAAAATAAATACATTTTTCAAAATAAAGTCTTCTCAACTAGAATTGTTGGAGCACAAGAGGCCATTCGTCCCATTGTATCTTTACCAACTCTCCGAATAAGCATTTCACTTAGTGCTACTCTCCCACTTTCTCCCTTTAAACTTGCACATTCTTCCTTTTCCGATAACCATCTAGATTGTTTCCATCGACCATGGTTCGACCTCATTTCAGGCTGTGCATTTCATTGTTTTGATTTGATTTGATTTATTACTGCGACATGTGCCAAGCCATAGAGAAAACTGTTAATCATTTATCATATGAAAGTGTTATTTTACATGTCACTTTTGCTGCTATGGAACTACCAAAATGTTGCAGTGCAGAAATAGACTATTCAGGCCATCATGTCTGCATTGGCTGAATAAATTAGCCACCCTTTCTAAAACCAACTTCCAGCACCTAGGCCATAACCTCAGAATACAACACTTCAGGTGCAAATCCCTTTTAAATGAGTTGAGGATTTCTGCCTCAACTGTCAAACTGGGCAACAAATTCCAGGCATCGACTACTCTTTCACCAATCACCCTATCCACTCTATTCAAGCCCGTTTTGATCACATAGGCACATCTCCTGTCATTTACCATAATCAAAGGTACATGTATTTAGTTTCCTTGACTAGGAACCCAAGGAATTTGAGTTCGAATCTCACAAAAACAGTCTGCGAACTTAAATTCCACTAAAATAGAATCGTTGCATATTCCTTGCTTAGTTTGCCCTCCCCAAATGCTTAACCTTGCACTTCTCCAGACGGAATTCCATTTGCCAGTTTTCCAAACACTCAACCAGACCACGGAATCTTCCTGCAGTTGATAAACATCTACTTCACTACCAATTAAACAGCCAAGTTCTGTGCGGTCTACAAATTTCCCAATC